TGTAATTTGAATAAAGTATTTATATTCGCCATTATCTGATCTAGACGACCTGTATTCTCTTGAAATACAATAACTTCCTGTATGTCTTCCGATTTCATCTGTGGTTGCAAAAATCGTAAAGCTTTTGTAAAATCTGTCTCGTTCTGGTTAGGTGTGTGTTGGTATTTAATATCTGGTGCACTAAAAAGCTTCCTTGTTTCTTCTGTAATGGAGTCGAAATCTCCAGTTATATATTCCGGTAGCTTTAGTTTCTCTCCCTCACAATGCATATGCATGAATTCATTCCAGTGATTGGCGCCACCATCTATTAGGCAACGAATTTGTGCTGTGCAAAAGTTGTAATGTATATTTATAAAGCAACTTAGGTACGTAACTATAAATATAGATATGTATGTATAGTTTTTAATTGATCATATTTACCATTTTGCCATATTTTTTTAACTATCGGTGGTGACACTTGTATTGGCCGGTTAAGCACGATGCAAGCGTAACCACTCCCCACTGTATGACAGCCTTTTAGCAGCTCACTGGTTCTCCAAAGGCACACCTCGTTGGTATCGCTATTGCCACTTGTGGTTGTAGTGTTTCCTCCATTTAAATTCATTGAAATCGGAATACGTACCGACCGTCGCAGTGAAGTTTGGTGCAATGTGCAAAACAAATCAGAAAATCTGGCAGAAAACATACGATCGAATGCAGTAAAGTTGCTGGTCGTTGCAAGTGTGACAATCGCAGGGTCGCCCCTTTAATTTCGTTCTACTAAATGTGTAAATTTTGCTGATTATTTTTTATTATCTCTTTTAATATTTTGTTTAAAAATACTCATTTCCATATTGTATTTCTAAAATTAAAAAAAAAAAAAAATGCTTGCTTGGTCCGCTTGGTCGTGTAACTTTTGTTTTTATTGTAAACATTGTAGTAAATAAGTATAACAGTTACTTATGAGGAAGGGTGGCAACATAATTCAAAATAAAGAGCGTGTCACACGTGACAATGCAAGATTTTTCGAAGTCTGTTATACTGATAAATTGTAGAAAAAACTGCGTAGGCAAGGAAACCTGTAGCTTTTCGACGTTCGGAGTCGTCGTAGGAAATATGAGACCCCGAAATTTATTATTTACTATTTACTTTTAATATATTTTTTAATGAAGAAATTTGAAATAACTTTATATGTATTGTGTGATCGCTGCTGCAATTTTCAAATTTCGCCTGTTTGACAGACCTGCGGAAATTATTTATATTGCCAAGAGTGTTCTCGTATTCCGGGCCCAGGTGGTTCATTTGGTGATATCTTTTTTCTGCTCGATTTGCCCGATTTGGTATTTTTACAAAAATAGTTTTAAAACAAGCTTTCCAAATATGAACTAAAAGGAGCTATAAACACGAGTTTTCCAAATATCTTGACTTGCGCCACCTATCGGCAAAATCGTTTGTGGAATTATTCCTTTAATTTAGAAAATATATATTATAAATATAACCTAAATCAGACCATACACAGGGTTTCGACATATTTGAACCCGATGCCACCTTCCGGCAAATTTTTTTTATGAAATTATTTCCCTCCATATAGGTGATATATGTACATAAGAGCTGTGGCAACCGTCTGAATGTTGTGAATTTACAAATGCAGCGAAATATTCAAAAGCAAGAGCATGTACACAAGCAGCCTCATTGCGTAAGTCGTAAATTAGGCTAAATTGTACGACTCGACAACAGTAGCATTGTATAGTGTCGCAATGAAATAAGTAAACGACCAAAATCGTCGAAAACTATAGTGCTGCCAAGCTTTTCCGTTTTAATACACTAGTCGAGTGGAAATTTTACGCAATGACGTGGAATTTTCGATACGATTCGACTCTCGAAAAACGACTTGCATTCGACACGACTCTCGCAATGAGCGTGAATATCCCGATCAGCCCTAATCATTCCAAATATGAACCAGATCGGACTATAAATACGGGCTTTTCAAATATCTCGACTCCTGCTCCATCTAGCGGACTAATACCTTTCATATTGCATCGCCATCTGGTTTTGAGCTAAGTTTGAAGTTTAAAGTTTCGAGCTCATAGGAAAGCTGGTGAAACATTTATTGCAAGATTTAACCCAAACAAAGATACACGTTTTTTCTCAAATAATTTGTGACACCAAACAATCATACATGTTCTACTCAAAACTGACAAATTTGGCCAATAACATTTCTGCTTGCTGCATTTAACATCTATTTCGGAATATTTTACGGAAAAATATTTATTAGTCAAACGCATTGTTAAACTATAAACTGTAAATTATTTCAAGAAAACAAGCGTAGCTACACTTTCTAATATACAGTATCGGTCATATCAATAGCACGCCCATTTTAAAGTGATATTCTTTTCCAATCATGTTTATTTATTTTTAAGAATTTGCATTTTAATACAGTTTATTCTCTAACAAAACCCATATATACCTAAATTTAAAACTTTGTAAAAGACTACAAAAAATGCAAGAAATTTCCAACCAAATTTCAAACTTTTTTCTCGGAAGTCTTAGAAGATTTTTGAGTACACAGTTTTATAGCTTATTTAGTTAGTAATGTGTAATTTCCAGTGGCTAAAAATTACCGTTGTTTTTTTTTTTTAATCTTTTTCGCCGAAGTTGTGCGGGTTTTTTTTCATATAAAAAAAAAAATGTTATATGGAAGCAAATGCGACAACAAAAGATTCTAAAAAATCAACGATAATTTTTAACCACTTAAACTTGCACATTACCAGACTAAAATTTATTGGGCTATAAAACTCTTACACTTTTGAGAAAGGAGTTTGAAATTCTGATAAATATTTGTTGCATTTTTTGTAGTCTTTTACAAGGTTTTAATCTGAGGTTATATGGGTTTTGGGAGAGAACGAACTCTATTTAAATCGAAAATTCTTAAAAATAAATAAACATCAGTAAAATAAATTAAACATAAGTTGCAAACAATACCTCTTTTCAATGGGGGTTGATATGAGCGATGTACAGTAGGTACATACATATTTTATTTACAAAATGCAGTTTCTTGAATTTGGGTTATAGAATTTCAAATCTAATTCATGTACCAATGTACCCTTGTAGCTGTACATATAACAAAGTTTTATATTTGTACCTAAAATCTTGTAAGTTAAATTTTTATGAGGACATGCACGACCGCTAGATGAAAAAATATATTTTTCGTGGAATCTAAGCAAATTCCATCACTGTATCAGAGTGGATACGATCGCAGCATAAACCTGAGTACATCCGCTCATATCAAATCGGATTCAGTGATAGCATTTCTATTGATTTCAGGAAAATCGCAATACGAATGGATTCAGAATAGGCCAGAAAAACCAATTATTCAAAGTTATACAACTTATAATAAACTTATGCATATACTACAAGGAAGTATACTTCTGGTACGTGCTAAAAGATGTATGCATGTTCTTTAACGGTTTTACTATTTTTGGTCCGAGAAATCTGGAATCAGAGAGGTTTTGTCTTCGTGGCATGGTTCAGGCATGTCAAGGTCATGATAGTTGCTTGGCGTGGTGGAGACCTTCCTCTAGAAATAAACTTATGCATATACTACAAGGAAGTATTCTTCTGGTACGTACTAAAAGATGTATGCATGTTCTTTAACGGTTTTACTATTTTTAGTCCGAGAAATCTGGAATCGGAGAGGTTTTGTCTTCGTGGCATGGTTCAGGCATGTCAAGGTCATGATAGTTGCTTGGCGTGGTGGAGAGGCCTTCCTCTAGATCCTTTTGGCGAAACCACCGCTGGAGGGTAGAAACGTGGGGTAGCGGATACCCTTTGTCATACAAATATGTATATGCCACTGGCCCTGCTGCGTATAAAGATAATGCGCTGGAAATGTCATTCCATGACCATTTAACGTTTCGATCTATGTAAAATAAATAAATCATTACATTAACTTTCTACCAAGAAGATTTCAAAACATGCCTGGGGAAATCATTTTACGCATTTGATTTTCGGTAAAGATTTGTTTAAAATTATTTTGGACAGCATTCGCTATGTTCAACTGATGAGCCAAGTCCCTGTTTTCCGCTTTCAATTTTTTCACCTCTCTCTTCAGTTCGTAGACATCCCTCCCCATGAGGGCCTCCATAATAATAGGTCTGAAAGTATGTATGTAGGTAGTTGTGAAAGCAACAAAATAAAAATGCAACGCCCAAAACCAATTACTTACTCTGTTTGCGTTTGGCAATCTTTGGCGGGTTTCTTAGTTGCAGCAGTTAAAGAAACGTATGAGCTATTTATATCAAAGAAATAAATACATACGATTTTTAAATTTTACAATGAATGGACTTCAGTATTCAATACGCACTTACTCTATTAACATTTGACAATTTTTGACGATCTTTTCTGTTCCACTAGTTAAAAAAGTGGATGGGCTAATTGAATTAAAGAAATATTTACATGTTATAAATTTTATAATTAATAAATTGTATACGTGTTTAAAAACAATTCTTTTATGTTAAAAATTACGAGTTCTCAGTTACCTTGCCTGTGAGAAAATTGGTGAATCCAGTATTTCTGGGGCTTGAGAATCAGAAGTACCAATATCCGACCTGTATTAAAAATTGATATTTCAAGTTCATAAAAGTAATAATTCTAAAACTTACTCCAACTGGGCATAATATGAATCCGTAAATAAGTTACCATGATCAGATGGCGTCCAGCTAGAGTTGGTTGTTGTTGTTGTTGCTGTAGCGTTGGGACATTCCGATGGGGGAAATGGTACGGCTTTTGGCAACAACTGCGATCTCTTCCCACCGCCGATCATATCCGAACGCGAAAAATGATCCACACAAACACTGTCCTTTTCTTTAAAATGTACCCCGCAATTTTTTCCCCAAAGCAACCGTTGGGACTCCTCGGCTGGAACCCGAAAAAACGGTCCCGTTCCGCGTTCCCTTCTTTTAAGGCAGATTGCACACCTTCCCATTTTTCCTTCAATTTAATTTTCACAACTCACAAAGCAAACTGGACTTCAAAGATAAATAGGGATGCGAACTAGGAAAAGTCGATTCTAACTTTAGTCAAAAATCGACTTTTCACTGAAAAAACTCGACCTTTTGGAATCGGCTTTAGTCGCCTCGCGTTGACTAGAATCAGCTATCGCTCGACGACTTTTCGCCTTTTTTTTACTAAAGTTCTGAACACATTAAAAACGACGAGCTACCGACCACAGCTTCCAATTTGTCATCTTTATTATCTAAGCGCTTTGTCGATGGCGACATGATTTCTTTGAACGCGGCAGCGACATCATGAATTTGTATGAGTTTGACATAAAAGAAGAGGAAGAACCTTATCTGTCGCCAGAAAAATAGAAATAGATCTAATCTGGCCACAACCGCAGCCGTCGCGTAGCCCGGTCGTCGCCAAAATAATTATCTACATAAGAGTACGTGTTAAAATAATTTGACAGCTGTGGTTTGTAGCTCGTCGTTTTCATTGTGTTCGGGCTATAAGGGCTCGTTTTTCAGTGACAGTTTAAACTTAGATTAAGTAAACTGAGTTTAAATTGGCTGACATTTGATTGGCTGATCTTAGTTTAAACCAGCCAGATCGTGCGTTTAACTTAAACTCAGAGTTCTATTAATAGGAGCTTTAGTACTACCTCGGACATTGAAGTGCAATCTCTCAAGCAGAGACGGGCAATCAATCCTGCCTGTAGCAATGTCAGATATAAAAGATATCGCCAAGAGTGTTCTTCTGTCTTTTAAGGACAGTAGGTTTATTAGAAACGGAGGAAAATTTTTTGAACTCTCCAATCTATTTATATGAATACCAGGTTTATGGTATCCAAATAAATGCCGCGTATTTTAATTGAGACCGTACAAAAGCCGAAAACATCATCCTAAGTCTGTATAGAACTGAGGAATTAGATGTTCCTTCGTACAAATTTTAGAATAGCAAGCGAGTTTTTTATTATATAATAAATATGCATTGCAAAAGTGAACTTAGTGTCAAAGTACACGCCCAGATCCTTGATTTCGCTATCCAGTCAAAACTAGAGTTAGCAATGCGATACGATACGAACAAAAAGTAAATAATCTTCAAAATATCTTCAAATAATCTTGAAAGAAAATAAAACGCCAAGTGAATCAAGTGACAAAATTACTGTCGGACCGTGTACTATGAAGTGAATTATTGTAATACGATTTTGTTTAACTACATAATACAAAAGTAGTAATAAAATGAAAAATTAATATTTAAATTCATCTATGTATGTCGTTTCAATCAAAAAGGTACAAAGTATTTTACTATTTCAATTTCAGTATATCAATGATATTTTTGAGACCAAGACATTGGACTTCAAGTTGAGAACTAGCATTTTCTCAACTTGAGAAACAGTCGTTCAAAAAAATCATGTCGCCATCGACAAAGCGTTTAGATAATGAAGATAACAAACTAAAAGCTGTGGCCCGTGGCTCGTCGTTTTCAATGTGTTCAGAACTTAATCATGGGTGTAATAATAGTTGCGTTCCATGAACCAAAAATACAAGATCACGTAAGAACGCGACGTTGTATTTGTAACTGGTTTTGAGAAAAAAGTTTGCGAAAGCGGGTTCGTCAGCTGAGCGTTTGTTTACATCACAAGCACCACTATTTTACACTTATATTTAAGTAAAGAAGAGTTAATTCAACATGACAACACATTTTCAAGCATTTTATTGCATCATTTTACCTAAATTGTGCGCTTAAAGTGGCTGACAATAATTTTGGCTAACTTTGGTTTTCGTTGTTTTCTTTGCTTTGTTTACTTTTCGCTTGTTTTCCAGTGAAACAAGATGGCGTAGAACCCGCTAAAAAAATCGACTTTTTTCACTCTCTTGTTCTTACGTGATCTTGTGTCTTTCGTTCATGGTTGCGTTCCTATCTCCCAGAAATAGTAAGAAAAAGTCCAAAGTAGTCAGATTTAAGGCCGGTCCACATAGAACTTTCGCGTTGGCTTTGGCGTTGGCGTTGGTTTGACAGAACGCACGTTAAAAGTGTGCTTGCTACAATGAACGCTTGGCAGCGAATCCTTGGGCCACTAAATTAACATATTAACGACAGATAAATTAACATTTCATATCAATAATTGCATTAAAAACGATATTTCTTGCCCGAACTTGATTAAAAAGGAAAAATATTTCACATAATTTTATTTATTCGCAACAGCTGACGAGCGACGCACGCGAAAAGTTGAGAGTTGGCCATCTTTTTGCTTTGTGTTGGCGTGAGCGTTGTCGAATTTTGGCTATGTGGACGGCTGCATTTGAATTCATGTATTCATAGTCAGCTGTTGAAGCGACGCCAACGCCAACGCAACGCCAAAGTTCTATGTGGACGGGCCTTTAGTCCAAAAAGCGTTCCTTAACCAGTGTTGCCGCGTATAATTTTTAGTGGTAGCCAAATTCCTTTAAAAAAAGAGCTAAAAAAAGTTTTTGGGGCTAAAAATGGTAGCTAAAATTTTTTACTTACATATACATATATAAGTATACACGTAAAAATTTTCAATAAGTAATGGTATATAAAAACAATGAACTTTGGAAAAAAAACTAATATTTTATCCAACCAAAGACCTTTTTGTATAAAAGGGGAAATATACGACACCAGCTTGCTGGTTCCATCAAGCGATTGTACCATCAGGCTCGAAGCATATAACTTACCAGCATGCTGGTACAATATTTATTTCTTTACAAATGAGGTCGAGGAAAGATCGAAATGATTAGAGCCGAAATTTCATAATTTTTCTAGCATTTTGTTAAACATTGTTTTTTTTTTTGTAATTCACAACTGCAATATCTTCCACAAACATGGCTTTGACTCATATGGTGCAAGAAATTTCCGCCAAAATACTTTTTACTTAGAAAATTGAGCTAATTTCACCACTGACACCAGCAGGCTGGTACAATCACACCCCAAGAACATACACGGTCAATCGACTTGATGGGTCATTTAACAAATTTAGCATATTAAGGGCCGTGAACTTATCTATTTTAAACTATAGTTAAATCTTTAACAGATAAGTTAACAGCCCCAATACTTTTACAGTATGTATTTATAAAAGCGTAAGGAACATACAATACATATATGTATATATATTAGCATTTCTTAGTCTAAAAATTCATCTCTTACATAAATGCAAAAAAAAAACCAATTAAGCATATACAACTTTTTCATGCCAAGTATGAATAAATTCTAAAAAGGGCTAAAAAAGGGCTAGGGGCAATTTTAAATTTATGTGGCCAAAAAAAGTATGTGGTAGCTAAATCTAGCCACCAAAGGGCTAAAACGGCAACACTGTCCTTAACTCGAAAATGACAGCAAAAATGAGAGAGCAACACTCAGTGAGAGTGACTCTCTTCAGTCCGAAGTAGTCAGATTTAGGTCGGTGTTATGCAGACAAACTTTTGTTTGCCAAATTAAAGTTTGGCACAGGGTTGCACGTTCAATATGGTTTTCATGGCTATTGCCAACACGAAATGAGAATTTCAGATGTACATAACGCGCACAATTAATATATTTTTTATGATATCGTATAGGCAATTAACTGTGCCCTAATCTTTGAAGCTCCTACAGCATAAATTCGGCAATTTTTGTGTATAGCAACAAATGTCTAAAATTTTTGTATATGACAACACCGAATTTTCTGCAGTTTGACCAAACAAAATTAGTTTGCTGTGAGAGTCGCCAAACTCGCTCTCTCCGAGTTTGCTGCTACAACAATTGCAGGCAGTTTGCCAAGCAAAATTTCTGCATTTCACAGTCAGAAGAATTTTTTCTGGCAAAATCCTTAAAAGTGCCAAACTCAACTTAATTTAAATTAACGGAAATTAAAGAATACACAAAAAGTGAGAATAATCTAAAAAGGAAAAAAGTGAATTGAAATTGGGAGGCAAGAAATAGTTGCGATCCCGTACGAGTCTGGACTAGTCAGAATCAGTCATATTTTACTGGAAATTGATCCCGTACTCGGTTCTCTGACTATTGAGAGGACAAAAAAGAGAGTAAATACGGTTATCTCTCTGTCAGAAGTTACCAGTTTTAGCCCGAGAATTTTTTGCTGGTAAATTCTGGTAAATGTGTCAAACGATCAGCTGTAGTGTGTTTGGCAACCAAATTGTAAAAAAAAAGAAAAGTGCACTCTGCTAATTCATGTTGAAAAGTATTTAATTACTTGTTTAAGTGGATTCCAATGAATTTGAAAGTATTATTGGTTATTTACATGTGTGAGCTGTGTGTTTACATACAAAATAAGCAAAAATTTACAACCAAAATTTGGAGGTTATGTTGAAGTTGACAGCAGTTACCATTTTTTACTAGAAAGCGATCCCGTACTTTTCAATGTTACTCTCTCGCCCTGAGCGAATTTTTTTTTTTTACAGTTTTACTAGTCCGAGTCCGAGGATTACGGGATTGCACCTAATAATTGATATAGTGAGTGTTTATTGTGCTTGCAGAGAACGTATATTTATAGAAAAGGTCCAAGAACTGTGAATGCCACATTTTTCGAGCCAACAAAACTGGCGAAGCGCATTTTAAGAGCGACAAATATTTGGAATACTTAACAGCGAAAGCAAAATACA